TGCTACTGCAAGTACTAGATCCTCGACTCATAGGTGATCCTCCAGTCTCCAGTACTGCAGCAGCATCCAGTAAACTGCTAATGTCCATCTTGTTGATCCGTCTTGGGGGGCTCACAGGTATCGGCGTAGTGGTTTCTTCTTCTTCTTCAGTGTCCTGATCTAGTTCTTCTTCATTAATATCTGTTTCATCTTCACTCCTAGATCTTTGTTGTTGTTGTTGTTTCATCCATCCTGAACTTCGGCGACGTCGACGGTCCTGATTGAGCTTAAAAATCGGATCATACGACAAGCAAACCCGCTTGGACTTGTCGCAATTGAAGCATGTGGGGAACCGTTCATCACACTAAACCAAAAAAAAAAAAAAAAAAAAATAAACAGTTAGGACTAAGCTTGAAAAATTAAAAAAAAAATTAAAAAAAAAAAAACATACCTTGATTCGACGTTTGCGGCACGTCAAGCACCCAGTCTTTGTTCGCCTTTTAATTTCCCGTGAAGCTGTCAGCTCCAACATGGGCGTCGTCTTAAACTGAGCTCCCACGTGTGCGCCGTGCGCCGCGTGATGGTGTTGGTGGGGATGTGCCTGTTGCTGGTGGTGATGATACACGGGTGGTGCTCCACCCACCAGCTGATGGCTACCACAAACCTCTCCAGGTGGTGGAGGTGGTGGCCCCCCAGATAACATTCCATGGGGATGAGAATGAGAATGAGAATGAGAATGAGGATGAGGAGGAGGATGAGGAGGATGAGAAGGATGAGGAGGAGGATACGCCTGTATAGGAGCTCCTGGAATTCCTCCAACAGGTGCAAAAATTCCCAATCCAAGACCTCTTGGTGTTGCTTCATATGATGATGGACCTTGAGGAGGTGGTGGTGGTGGTGGTCCGCCAATAATCTGGTGCTGCGGCGTGTGTGGCGCGTGCGGCGCAAACCCACCTCCAAAAGAGCGCTGAGTGTGTGGCGAGTGCAACGATTGAGATGGTGGTAGAGGTGGAGGTGTTGACGGCCCATAAAAAGGCCCATTATATTGGCCAAGCTTTGGTGTACGAGGAGGTACCGGCCCGTTTGGCGAGTACCCCTGTTGCTGATGCTGCTGCTGCTGCTGCTGCTGCTGAGACCCTTGCGGTGGTGGTGGTGGTGGCCCATACCTTGACGGCGAAGGTTGAGCAAAGTGTGGTGGAGGAGGAGGAGGAGGAGGAGGAGGTCCAGTCGGAGCATGTCCTGCAATTGGAGAAACCAAACTGCTACTGCTGCTATTGTTACTGGCACCACTAAAGTACCCTCCGTCTTCACGAGCACCACTGTACGAATAATGTCTCGAACGGTACCCGTACCCTTGCCCTGAAAAAGAGCCTGTTGACGGAGTGTGTGGAGTCACCATCCCGTAAGCTGACCCTACAGATCCACTCATTGGCGACACAGGACGCTGAGGTGGAAGGTGTGTGTAATTATTACCTCCTGGACCGTCACTGCTACCACTACCGCTGATAGACCCACGATGGTGGTGGTGGTGGTGGTGGTGTGGTGGAGGAGGAGGTAATCTCGAAGGACTATTATTATGACTTTGAAACGGTGACTGAAGTTGTTCCGGACTCTCAGACACCGCTCCCAAAGGTGGCAGTGTTACCTGGCGAGGCCCTCCAGGAGATACAGGTCCTCCTCCACTGCGTCCAGAAAACGAATGACTACGCAGTGGTAGTGGCATGTCACTAATGTTACCATTACTTCTGTGCTCGTTACTAGCAGAACCTGCCCGACCAGGTAATACCAGCGGCGGTAAACTTGTATTGGAAGCAGAAGACGGCCTTAATAACCCATCGCCCAAACTTTTAAGCGATGGAAGTCGTACACGGCCAGTCTCACTAGTCCGTATACTACTACCATTACCACCATTCACCGGAGTACTTTCTGCAGAATGCGCTGTATGTTGTTGCTGTTGTAATTCTCCAGAGCCTGACTGGCCACCAGATGCTGGCCGTCTCTGTTGTTCAATGTTTGCCCAAGAAGACGACGTTGATGTTTGAGGAGTTTGTAAAGGTGTTGCTGGAAGTGTCATATTACTATTGTTAAGCTTTGTAGATTGTGACAGCCCGTTATTGTTGTTATTATTATTATTTCCTTCAGAGGAAAATAATCCTGAAGACCCCCCATTTATATACTTGCCTGTGCCAGCACTTTGCATGTTTGGGAGACCACCCGATTCCTCCGGATTGCCAATTAATGGTGGAGGGCTATTACCATTACGGCCATACCCAAATTGGTCCGGATTAGGCGTGGATATGGGGGTCGACAACATGCTATACTCGGGGACTTGGATTCGCGGTAGCTTCTTGCCGTCGCCAAAACCATGCCTGAGATTCCCACCATTACCGATTGTGTACGATTGGGGGATTTGATGCAAGGGCGATTGCATACAAGCTTGTGACGAAGGAGGAGGTAGAGACAACAAATCTTGAGATTGATGCGGTGATTGCTGTTCTTGTTGTGTCTGCCGTGGATGCATTAAAGATGAAGCTGAAGGAAGCATTATATAAGAAAACAAAATGAATGTCTTTTAAAAGTGTGAGTTAACTAGGCTTAATAGAAACTATTTATTTAGCGATGTTGAATAGAAATATATATATATATATATATATTTATAATGATAACAATATTAAAAGAAAAAAAAAAGATTTTTAGTATAATAAGAGAGAAGAGGATTAAAAGGAAAAAAAAAAGATGAAATGGGGAATGAGAGGAAATGAAAGATATTTATATAAACATTCAATCCAAGACTTTTTTTTTTTCTTTCTTTCTCTCTTTCAATATATATAAAATATAAGTTTCTCCTCTTCTTTAAAACCTAGTTGACCTATTTTATTATTTTTAATTATTAACCTAAACTTCTTTTTTTTTTTTTTTTTTTTTTTTTTTTTAATTCTCGATGTGTATGAAGAAGATTGTAAGACCTCTTGGGCGGTGTAATACTTTCTTGTTACTCTCAAATCAAAAATAAATAAAATAAAATAAAAAAAGGTTCTTATAATTTTGTGTTATTGATGTTTAAAAAAAGTAGAACAAAGTTGTTGAAAAAAATAAAAATAAAAATAAAATAAAATCCAAAACTTTATTTCTCATCACAGAAAAACTTAAAATCAACTTTAAGTTTTTTTTTTTTTTTCCAAGTCTTCTTTGGAAGGAAGGAAAAAAAAAAAAAAAAAAAAAAAAAGAAAATATTGAAAAAAAAAAAAAAATTAAAGCTATTGAGAAACATTTAAAATATTAAGAGTTTATCATTAACACCATCGATGGTGAAATGTATTTTTTTTTTTTTTTTTTTTTTTGAAGTATATGAATTCTTCACATAAATATATTAGTGTGTGAAAAGTAAAATGACAAAATGGCATTTTGTCCCCATTGATTTTATTCATTTAATATAGTCATAAACATATCCAATTCTTTCTTATTTCAAATCTTTTAAAAAAAAATGGCAAATCAATTTTAATATCAAAGAGAAAGTAAAAACTGTAAAAGAAAAAATTCGATTATAGGAATAAAACCTAGGTAAATCAAATTATCTTTTTTTTTTTTTTTTTTTTTTTTTTTTAAAAAAAAACCGCCTCATCTAGACTACATCATTCTCTTGATTCTTCTCTTCCTTTGCCTTTTCTCGTTCAAACAAACCTTTTCGTTAAAAAAAAAAAAACCCTCCCCGCGAACTCTCTTTTGCTTTTTTGTTTTTTTTTTGTTTATATTCGAATCTTTTTTTTCTTGTCTCCAAAACGCATTGCTCTTTTTTTTTTTTTTCCTTCCCCCCGCTAAAATGCCCTGTAGTGTAAACTCCATTTTGCGAATTCGCGCAATCAGTACCGACCAACGAATCTCGTATAACCGCATATCATAAGAAAGGAAAGAAGAAGAAGAAAATAATCATATTCTACCCACTTTCTTTCTCTTGTTATTAACACTTTGTACAACCATAAAATATCATCGTCATTGTTATTGTCACCATCACCGCCGCAAGAACTAGAAATTTTTTTTAAAAAATCAGATATGATTATATTCCACATGGAAACTTTGTTTCTCCCTCTTTATTTCAGTCCACTTCATATAGCAATATGCTTTTCATGAAGCATTATGTTTTCCTGGTTCAACTTTCTTACTAAGAATCAATAAAATAATAATTTTTTTTTCTAAAAAAAAAAATTCACAAACATGAGAACCGGGGGGTGTATATGCTTTTAAAGAGATTTCCAAAGAGGAAAACACTGGTTAAAAGGTATTTCAGTGCAATATATATAATCAATTCTAGACTTTCATTCATAACACTATCGCTATTATTATCACAATCATCAGCAACATTAAAAGTTGCAGCAACAATATAGTATATGTAGTATGATACAACCACTATTCTCTAGAACACTCCACACCCAGTTCATGTACCAGAAGGTTGCCCTTTGGAGCCAAAAAAGCAAAACATTTATGGTCTATTCTATTCTGATCAACCCTGTCTTATAACTAACATTGGCGCATCTTTCTCTTTTTTTTTTTAAAACCAAAAAATAAAAATAAATATAAAGGCTTTTCTATTCCTCTTTTTTTTTTTTTTTGTTTCTCTTTACAATAATTATACTCTCAAAATGTAACCTGCACTCAGGCTATAAAAAATAAACTTACAGAGTGGGTCAAATCATTAGAAAAAAAAAAAAAAAAAAGAGAAAGAATAGGCAAATAGTGTATGAAGTGGCATAGTAGAGGTATATTATATGATGGGAATAAAAAAAAACGAGGGCGGGTAGTGGATCTAGCCTTTGAGTTAAAAAAAGATATTTCATATATATTGGATATTTTCCTCTCATAACAGCTTTAGGTATTGGACACTGATAATCAGGGTTGGGTATTTGGGCAGGTCTAATTAGAATAGACGGATTGAATGACCCCCCCTCCCCCCCCCCAAAAAAAAGTCCATTTCGTTTTAAAAAGAATATTCCATACGAGAAATCTGTCTTTTTATATACAATTCTTTTTATGACCTTGGCTTAATAACTTTTCCAAAATTCTCTAACAATTCTCTTACAAGTTCTTTAGAAAGACTTTCATTTCATACATGTCAGGTTGTAACAGCTTTGTAGCGAGTTTGAAAAGTAACGAACGTTAAGAGAAAAGAGGAAAAAAAAAAAAAAAAAAAAAAAAAAACTCAGTACTAAAGTAAACTCGTGCGTGCACGCTCCACACACAAGGTTTGATTTTTTTATTTTTGAGTTTCTCACACACTTTTAGTTTTATCCTAGAATTCTATTTTTGCTTTCGAAAGCAAAAATAAAAGTCCTCATAACTCAATTCAACAGAAAAAAAAGGACTTGTGTCAAAGATATTATATTTTCTCTTTAAAATAAGTGTTTAATATCATGAAGCCTTTGTATAGACATGTATAAAAATTCAATTAAAGAAAAAAAATTAAAAAAAAAAAAAAAAAAGAGTGCCTGTTAAAAAAAAAAAAATAGAAATGCCTGACTGGAGATTAAGGAAAAACATGCCGCCGCACGTTGCAATTAAGCGCAGGATACAGCAATAATAAAAATAAAAGAATAGCTCATCGCTCAGTCCTAAATATAGCTAATAAATGTATGACGATCTTATAAAGAAATACGGGATAATCAACTGTTCAAATAATCTATTTTAAAAGTAGAATATATTCTTCTCCAACAGGTTGCTTTGAATTTATTTTATTTTTTGATTTTTATTTCCCCCTGAGGGTTTCTTTACTATCCAGGTTATAATCATTTTCTAATCGAATTGTTTTTTTTTCTAATCACTCTCGCTCTATAAAAAAAAAACCTTAAGTTTAAGCTTATAGTGCAGCATGATGATATCTTCATCTCTAATATTCTCTTTAGTACGTTTAAGCTTTAATACTTGAAATAACAGCTACGGCAGAGTGACTTTTCAACAGCGTTAATGAGGAAATCTAAACTCTTGAGATTTAGCGTTTAATATATCTTACATACACCTGATGAGCAAGGGTCTATAATAGGCAGTAACATAGAAGAAGAAGAGGGAAAGAAGAGTCACAAAAAAGTAGGAGGTTAAATAAAGTAAAATAAAATAGAAAAAAAAAAGCCATAATTGTTTTTTCATACTTCATTCTATCAATGTCTTTTTTAACATCACTCTCAAAATGGTATTCTCCACTTTAAAAGAAAACAACAAACTTTTTAAAGTATTTTAATTTTTTTTTTCTTTTTTGAATTTCATTCATATACATGAATGAAATATATATAAGTCATCACTATTTGTGTTTAGTAAAATAAATCTATTCATTATTATTATTATTTTAATGCACGATAAAAACAAACGCAAAGTACTTTCAAAGCCTAACTTTGCTCATCTCACTCAGCTCATCTTCATATCCAGCTTAATTCCGCTGTTTTTTTTTATCTTTTATCTTTTTTTATCTTTTTTTATTTTTATTTTTGCATTTGACTTTCATCTTTCAAATGAAGCTTTAAGCAAGGCTATTCCTAGTCATCTTCTGATATATATCCGATATCATTACGTGTAAAAATAGCTTTGACAGATTTCAGTGTACCAATTCATTTCTCATTTCACAACTGCTCTTAAAAATTTAACTTTTTAAAGAGTTACAATAAAATAAAATCACATCATTAGGGAGAAAAAAAAATTCTAAAAATGATGTGTAAAGCTTGTTATTATTGGAAAAAAAAATACAAAAGCATACCATTTTTTTTATGGAGACTAATAGAAGTGGTCGATTTATCTAGACAATGTAGGAACAAACAGAAACTTCCCGTAATTCTTTCTAAATAATTCAAGGCGCACGCAAGTTTCTGGGTCTAAGGTTCCTGGACCAAAAAACGTGTGTTCTTTTTCAAACACTTCAAGGTTTATTTTTTTTTATTACGGAAGAGAATATAATTTCTCTTAAAAAGAAGCTTTCATATCTTTGCCGTAGGCTGAAATGAATCTATTTCCCAAGATTTCTCGCTTTCCTCCCCTCCTTCTCTCTTCTTTGCTCTCTTGCAATTAGGCTATCGATTGGTTCAAAAAAAAAAACCACCCCACTCCTCCACATACGTTGCTTTATCTTTTTTTTTTCTTTTATTTTCTTTTTCTCTCTTCATCACTTCCGCCTCTTTCCTCGTGCAAGATCCATATCTTAAACACCCAGGTGAAAATCCAAATTTCCGGGCTTGTTGTGTGTATTTTTTTTTAGCCTTATATTAGTGTAACTCATAGACATAGCTTGTGGGTGGGTGTCAACGATTTTATTTTATTTTATTTTTTTTTTTTGGAATTTTTTTTTTTTTTTTTGCAGCTGTTCCTGCATCCAGACCAACGTGCCTTCCACATGGGCGTGGCCAACAAGTCTTTGAGCCTACAATTTTTTTTTTTTTTTTTTTTGAAAATCTCCATCTCACCCTTGACCATATCTTTAAAATAAACTCAGATGCTTTTGATACAATGGAGCTAAATGCATATAATTCGCACTGTGACAAGTTGCCT